ATCTCTCAATGTTAATGGATCCTTCCAAGGTCCAGATACACATCTTCACTAAAATCAAAGTCTTTCAGCCTGGATCACACTCTTTCAGTGTACCAAGTTTAGTTGAAATTTGTCGATTAGTTTTTGAGACACATTATTTACAAGCTAACCGGTGAAAGCATTACCTCCATCTATCTTCAGTGGCAAGGGTAATTATTGATTTAGTTATAAGTTTTATTGTTGAAGATAGATGAGATCTAAAACAACTTCCAAATTAGAACAAAAAAATATGCTCACGGTAGGTATTTCATCAATTCCATGTATTGTTTAGTTAGGGGAGAATCTTAAAAATGTTAGCATAGAAGAAGGCTGTTCAACTTGTACTTCTGTGTTCCAAATTTTTATGCCTTTTTAATTTTATTTTGTGATAACATTACAATGTCCTGCAGTGCTATCTAAGAGGGATGAAGGGGGCTTGCTGCTACACTGCTACAGCTGGTTGCCCGAAAGCATTACTAACCATACATTATATATTGTTCGGTTATTCCATGGATGTCATCCAATGTTATTCATAACAATTGTAATAAAGTAGGAATTAGAGTTCAAGTCATGCCTTGCTCTCTGGTCCAGCCAGAAGAGCTCGAACAATATGTCACTAAGTTATGATCATGTTTTTTTCAACTCTACCTGTCTCAACTTACATAAAAAGAGGGTTAAAGTTTGAATGAACAGCATCTCTTACCTTGTTGTATACGAGTGAATTTTAGAAAGATGATACTGTAGGGTCCACCAGCATTTATTCTCATATTCCTGATCTATGCAAATGAAACTCTGAGACAACAAAACAAGGAAGACTTCCATTTCTATAGCCTCTTTCTTGAAACCCAGATGTCCCAAAGAGCTTTATGGTCAATTATATGTTTTTGATGTGAAGTCACTATTGTATGCAGCACAGTAGCATCTTATACAGATAATGTATTGTCTGGACCAATCAGGATGGGATAGGTGTGGGGCAGATACCCAGTTCCATATTAACTGTGTCCCTGCCCAGTTTTTATGCTGTTAAAGTTTCACTGTAACCCCTTCACTGAATGCCTGATGGTTAATACGTTACTCTTGTGCTTGGAAGTCTGTAGAAATCAATTAAATATTAATATATTGGGGTTCATTGACAATAAAAGCATCACAAAGGAGTTGGTATAGGCATATGTGTGCTTTTAGAGTGCATGCTGAATCAATCAATTAATTTTACTGATGCTTGATGCATTCCATGCATCAGAGAATAAATATAATATATTGAATTTTCTTGGTTCCTAGTGATTCATTTTGATAAACTTATAAGTTTTTCAGTTTCCTTAGAACAGTGGTGTGTATAAATTCTATTCAGCTTTTGCATTGAGTTGTTAATTAACTTCTTTAATACATCACATAGATGATTTTTACTGATATCATCTGTTCACTGAAACTAACAGAACATTGAAATAAAGAAGCAGAGAATGGATGAAACAATAGGAGATGATACTCTTTCATCACTTGGAACTGGAGTTGAATGCACGTATGACTGGTGGGGGAATATCTCTTCTCTTGACCAAGCATCCTAAGTGAATTTAATTTGGGTTTGCCTAACTGAACTCTTAGGAGACAGTGATATTAGGTTGGAACTGAATTGTAATATCCTTTGGAGAAGCTTCTAGGACATGTGATGTAGAAAGTAAATTTGGACTCTTGTTGTACAAGGTGATCTAAAATGGTTGTTAGGTGTATTTTTGGAACACTTCTGGTGAAGCTTAACTTTGTATGTGGTGCAGGCTACACTTGACCCTAGAGTGCTGAAACTGGGCTAAAAGGGAAAATGATTTCCATTCTCCAACAGTGACATCTTCACCGAATGCATAAGAAGTCAGAGATTATAGAAGGAGAATATGTAATGTGAGAACTTGAACGGTGCTGCTTTCTGTACATATATATGTGTGTGTGAATGGAAAGGAAGGGTCAATGATGCATAGACCCACATGATTGTCAAATCAATTATTTTAAGCAAAACTCACCATTGAATGATAACTGCTTGTCTAAAGTTTAAACAAACATAAAAGGAAGAAGAAAAAAAATGGAATAGTTGGTCATCAAACTTTTTTTTGTCAGTTGCAATGAAGTTGATTTTCAATTTTTTTTAACAGGAGAGGGCAGTGTAGTGGTCATGTCACTGGGTTAGTCATTCAGAGGGTCTAGGCACATGAGTTCAAATCCCACCTCCCCCACCACGGCAGCTGATGGAATATAAATTCAGTTACCGCCAAAATCTGGAATGTAAAATGACTCTCATTGATAGCCATAAAGTGCATCTGCTTCACAAATGTCCATTAGGGAAGGAAAATCTGCAATCCTTAACTGGTCTGTCTTGACTTCATGTGGCTTTAGACCCAGAGCAATATGGTCAACCATTCTCAAAAATGAACCAGCAAAACCATCAGTTCAAAGACAATTATAGAGAACAGACAGTAAATGCAGACTCTGCCAGCAATACCTGCATTCCATGAAACAGTATAAAAAGCAAAATCTGATGTTGCTATCCTTCATTCACAACTAGCTATTTTCCATATTGAGGCTTTTCAGTAATTTACATCTTTTTTCCTTCTGAATATCATTGTTTAAGCATACATTCAGATGCACCAGATACAGTCCTAAGTTTATGATTTGCCCAAAATTCTGTACTAAATAAAAAAGTTCATAGAACAGAATTGATAAAAATATGGATGGAATATTTTATGTATTATGTATTTATCATGGTTACATTGTCAAAAAATTGGAATTTTTTTTAACATTTGAAATTGGCTTCTCTTTTGAAATCTGAGACAAATCTGCATAGATTCCAGGCTGATAGGAGACAATGTCTACCTTCAGTGATGTTAATCTCATTTCAATTTGGTGAAATAATTTTTTTTAATTCTGTGAAGCTTTACATTGTGAATGTGTTTTTTTTTTAATTTTGGGACCATAAGATCAAAGTGTTTTCTGTTGACTTTGTAAGGCCTCCCTCCTGAGACCTCACTTGATTAAAGCTGAACCAGAGAATTAAATGATATTGACAAATCATTCAGATGCAAGCTCTGCTTAGAGATGTGGGTTTATTTAAACAGATTCAAAACCACAGAGTCACCATCAATAATGTCACACAATGTTTCACAATGTCTTACATAAACGATTCGGTCGAGTCAAATGACTTGTTGTTGCTTAGACCAGGTCTGTACTTGTTGACTGGTCAGGTCACTTACTCCCATCTGCAGTTTTGATATCTTTTAGTCACTATTATTTATATTCCTTTTTATGCATAGACCGGGCTGTTATGTTGTCATGTACTTACTGTCCTCGAAAGGCTCCCCTTAATACAAAGTGTCAATGAAAACAATGAGTTTTTTTTATCCAAATTGTATGTTAGTAGCCTGCTAACATGCTAAGTTCTGCTTTCTGTAGCCTGCTAGAGCCGTGTAGAACAGTTTGCTGAGGACTATTTTCCATTTCTTTGCTTTCCATGTCTAGCTTTGTACCTCTCAAATTCCATCTTCAAGCTCAAGGCTATTTTTAAAACTTAATTGCTCATATCTCCCACTTACTTAGTTGTGCTTAGAGCTATACATAATGACCATCCAGTATCTGACCATTAAAACATTGAAGAACGGATTTACAAACAGTTATGGATACTCTGTGATCCTTTAAAAATGGCCGTTGAGACTCAATTCTGGATTCCTACCGTCATTCCTTGCACCCCTAACTTCTGGGTGTGCATAAGGATGCAAATAGTAAACCATACCTTACATTACTGGCATGACTGACTCCATTTTGGCAAAGGCATCTTCTAGCCCCACCCCTCCCCGCCTTTTTAAATGGACTCAGGCCAGCTTTTAAAGGGCTTGTGGTTCATGGACAATCAGTGGAGTAGTAAACCATAGACTGAACATGGGAAAGTGTCAAAAGATAACTTCATAAGGTCTTAGCTCATACTTCATCTCTATGCTAAGTTATGAATTCTACCTATCCGAAATGATTCTTCACGCCTTCCATGCCAACTTGTACCTCCTACCTAACTCCATGACCTCTCATATCATCTATGTCAATGTATATCCTTTCCATGCTCGTTCACCCAGTATACATTCTGTACCGAAGCCATGACAGCAATGTCAAGTGCAAGCAGCAGGTTTTACTTTACTTTGCAAAACTCTTGTGAAGCATAATGGTCAGAGGTTTGATCAACTTACAATTTATGCTCTGGGTGTGTTCCCCAAGCACATGATTGGTTTACGACTATCCTAGCAATTAGATTGTGCCTGAATTGGAGACTGATCCCAGGGCAAGACGATTTGAGCAGCACAGCAAAGTGATCCGCCAGCCTTATTTATTGATCATTGGTCATGTGATTTGTGCGTTCAAGGGCAGTTTGTTAACCATGGTTGGATGGGAGAGGCACTAGGGAATGGGACAAGTGGTGATCACCAGTGGTCTCTTCACATTCTGGTCATCCTAAAGACACTATGCCTAAAGCGGAGACCCTTTTTAAATGATGTCATTAGGATCTGACTGCATTCATGGAGCTAGCTAGTAGGCTAGAGCGAATGGGAGGTCTGTGTGCTGGGGACTGCTCCCACAGGTCCCTGCTGAGGCCACATGCCACTGAATACATTTTCCTTCCTGTTGGTGAGGTATGAAGCTGGCCTATTTTGGGTAAGACAGAGGTATTAGCTGGATCCCAGGTTGCATGTTTTTGGTGTACGGTTTGAGCTTCAGTCAAAAAGTGTCTGTACTATACTCACCCTTCCTTTAAAATTATAGACTGCATGCCCCAATGGCTTTTTGTTCTACAGTAAAGAAAAGGTAGCGTTGTACCACTCAGAGTTCAAATAGTGTTCCTTGAGTACAAAGAAGCCATGGTTTACATAAAGCTCCATAGTATATCATTCAGGTAGTCACATTACATGTATGTTATCTTACTTTTCTTTCCCCTTCTCTTCCCCCTCACCCACCAACAGGGTGCAGAAATGTTCAAAGATGAATCAGATGAACACACACAGTTTGTCTCAGGTGTTTTCACCCTACTTATTCCAAACAGAAGGTCAAACCAAACAAGAAGTTAATGTCATAGAGGATCTGATCAATTTATACGTTCAACTCTTTGGTGTAAGTACATATTTTTGGGAATGGATTGGTCATGAATTCTTCACACATTGCACTTCGTTAAATCAAGCAATTAATACTTTCTATTGAATTTTTTCTAAAAATAGGAAATCATACATTTACAAAGATGATATTGAACACATTTCATATGCTAACTACAAAACTATAAATTTGAGACTTATGCTTTCTTCTTTATTCAAATTTAGTCTTGACCTCATCTGACCATTAAAATGTATTTTTAAAAGTTTTCATTTTTAGAATAATTGATGTCACCAAAGTAATTATTCTGTCCTATGTAGTCCGCTAACCTTGCAGAATTGTGTACAAAGAGAAAATATGAAAGACCGTAACTAACAGATAAGAACAGACGATGCATTTACATTTTATTGATGAAAATTTCCTTCCTTTGAAACTGAATGTCAGAATGTTAAGGATATGCTAGTCAGATGAATTCTTTCTTTTTTTTCCCCAAACTTCACTAAGTTTGCAAGCTCTGTTAAAAGTTTGAAAGAACACCAATAATACAACATCCTCTTGTATTTATATAACAGTTCCAATGTAGGAGAACTTCACAAAGTGCTTTACAGAGCTGCAATAGAGAAAGAGAACACCAAGTCAAAGAAGGACAAATTTGGGAGAGATGACCTCAGAGCTTGGTCAAACAAGTGAGCTTTGTGAAACGTTAACAGATGGGGAGAAAGACTGTCAAAGGCATTTCTATTACTGGGGCCCCCTACTATTAAAATTCTGGGGTTAACCTTGACCAGAAACTGAACTAGACTAGCCAAATAAATACTGTGGCTATAAGAGCAGGGCAGAAATTGAAAATCCTGCAGCAAATAATTCATGTCCTGACTCCCTAAAGCCTGTCCACCATCTACAAAGCACAAGTCAGGAGTGTGATGGAGTATTCCCCACTTGCCTGGATAGGTGCAGCTCCAACAACAGTGAAGAACCTCGACACCATCCAGACCAAAGTAGTCCACTTGATAAGTATCATGTACACTCCCTCGAACACTGATGCTGAGTAGCAGCAGTGTGTACTCTCTACCAGATGCATTGCAAAAGTTTACCAAGTCTCCTTATTCAGCACTTTCCTAACTTTCAACCACTGCCATCTAGAAGGACAAGGTCAGCAGATACATGGGAGCACCAGGACCAGCAAGTTCCCCTCTAAGTCATTCATTATCCTGATTTGGAAATACAATGCCGCTTCGTCAATGTTGCTCGGTCAAAATCCAGGAACTCCTTCTTTAAGAGCGTTGCAGCTGAACCTACACGAAATGAACTGCAGATGTTCATGAAAGCAGTTTACCACCATCTTCTCAAGGGCATCAATGCAATGGCTATAAATGTTGGCCTAGCCAGTGACACCGATACTCCATAAATGAATAAAAACAAAAAAAAAGTTAATGTATCAGGCATAGGTTGCCAGTTGTGAGACAAGTGCTTAAATATTAAAAGCAAAATACTAAGGATGCTGGAAATCTGATATATAAAAAAGAAAATGCTGAAGAAGTTCAGTTCAGGCATCATCTGTGAAGAAACAAAGGGTTGCAGTTTCAGGTTAACAAACTTTTCCGGTGAAAGTTTTCCATTTTCAGTGGCCTCTGTTAAAATGAAATGACTCCTTTTAATCCCAGTCAGAGATAATTTGAAATGGATTATAAAGTGAGGAAATAAAGCTTCAGTTATATCGAGTCTTAAAACCAGTCAGGAATATCACCTTCAGTTTTGGCACTGAACCTCAAAAAAGTGATATTGATCTTGGAAAAGATAGAATGCAGATTAGTCAGAATTATTTCGGGCCTTAAAGGGTTTAACTATGAAGAGATTGCATTAACTTGGCTTAATTGGGTAAGAGTTTAGAGGAATCTGGAGCAAATGCAGATAAATAGGACAGCCATTCAGACCTCTATGAGCAAGCTGAATACAGAATAGATTCACGGAACTAAACGGTCTGCTCCTGATCCAATGGAATTTTCTTATCGACTTAGAGACTCTGTTGGGACCAAATTGGGAAATCCCAAACATACAAACAGAAGCAAATCTTCCAGAAGGAGTCATCCTCATTGCCTGCCGCTGAGATCACCAGGCTGGGCCTGTGATACATCAGGCCCAATCACATTAGACCATTTTGGCTGGGCTGCACAGCAGTCTGCACTGGGTTAGAGGGTGAAGCCCTCACTTCTGCTCAAGGTCCCACCAATTCCAGTGACCGCCGGGCTTGCACATAGTGCAGGCTGCTCTGCCACCAATAAAGTGCCATGAAAGCTGTAAAGTGACCTCTCACGAGGGTTTCAATCACCTTCAGCAAAACAGAAATTGCTGGTAAAACGCAGGTCTGGCAGAATCTGTGGGAAGAACGCAGGGTCAACGTTTTGAGACCAGTGACTTCATTAGAACTGTTGGACCGAGGAATAAGTGGTATTTATGCTGAAGACAATTGTGTATATGTGTGTGTTGGCAGGGAGTGGAGGAGGGCAGAGGTGAGCGGATATTTGGAGATGGACTTTGACCAAGTTAAATATTTGGAGTGCACAATGAATATTAGATACCTAGCTCTATGGTTACCAGATTAAAGAAGTTGGGGAGATAAAACAATATTTATTAAAGATATGTGTGTGCATTTATATTTATGTATACTTGTACATACATTGAATGTATATGTCAATTGTGTGTGACTCTTGAGTGCATATATATGTACAACAGGACAAAATACTGAGGTGCTCACCCAAGATAGCATGTCAAGCATCCTCACAAATTAAGACAGTCACAACTCAGTTGAACTGATGGTGTAACCAAAATACCCGACACTCAGTTACGAAAGTGAATCTTCTAAGGAGAGCTTCAGTCTGGGCTGTGCTTTCATGGCAGTCAAAGGAAGTGCTACAAAGACACCAAAGTCTTCACTTTGGAGTTCTGATGTCGACTACATTTCCTGGGTGATGCTGGATCACTGCACCTGATGTAACCAAATAAAAATTGTAATGGCCTCCTTAGAAAACAAGTGCATATCAGAGGCAGAGAGAAAACGAAAGGAGATGAAATCCTGAGTCAGCAACTCAGTCAAAACTACATTTTCAATGGTATCTATTAGTGGCACCTCCTAGACAGACCTTGGCCTTGACAGTCACTTGGGTACCTATTGGAAACCTACAAAACACCCCAGATGTTAAACACAGTCATCTTTGGCTTGAAGGGCGCACAAGAAGGGTATATATAAATATCAAACTCAACAACTAATGTAAGATTACAAACAATGATGGAAAATCCATAAAGAAAATGGTATGTAATGGAAAATTTAATCTTCTGACAAGAATTTCTCCTTCAATTTTCTCATTTTCACACAGACTTTCCTCTCGTTTCTCCTAGAACCCCTTACTAAATCAATAATCAGAATTCTTTTTATCCTGCAGATGAACCGCAAAAATCAGTTTTTAATTTAGAAAAATATCTGTAAAAACATAAAGAACAGGTAACCGAGAATCAGAGAGGAGGAGTCTACAGTCAGATTTACTGGGTGAAAATAGGAAAGCTATTCCCAATTCATGTATCTAGATTATCCTTCATGCAATGAATGGAGTGGTGATTTTTTTTTTGCCACCTACAGCTACTTCACTCACAATTTCTTTTAATTTTTGATGAGTATTTCTGTGCTTGAAATAGGTTAATGAAGACCAAGTGAAACAGATGGAGATAGAAAACAGCTTCATAACGACGTGGAAAGACACACAGGTTAGGGGTTTGCAAGATATCAACTTTTTATTTATGTTTAATACATTTGTAATTTCATGTACCAGTAGTATTTTGTTTAGTGAATTACTGGTTTTCATAATTGTAATATTTAAAGTGGTGCAGTTAATTTTATAGACTGTAGTGTGGTGCTTTAAAGAAAAATTTGCATACACAGATATCTGCCTGTATCTGTGGCCATTTTGCAATCCACTACACATCAGCTCAGTATTGTTTAGATAGATAATCCAAATTTCTGTGTTACACACTGTACTAGATATGGTTAATGTTTTAGTACAGTGATGATATCCTTGAGAGGTGCCTATGGCCAAAAATGAATTGGTATCTAGTTTACTGATCCAAAGGAATTTGACTATTGTATCTTAGCATATTAACACGGGGTTTTACATTTGTAAACATTCTCTTACATTGAATTTGGAATTGCTGTTTCTTATTTCTGTCCTAATGTAAGCCTGTTATCTGTTGATGCTTTCCTGTTCTCATAATATTATTTTTTGTGTTCAATACAACTTGGAGAAAACACTGCGGTAACCTCTGTACTTATAATCTACTCTAGCCAAGCAGGAGTTTGGTGCTTTTTAACAAGTTACTCACCTCATGCCCCTTCTATACCTCTCCGTGATCTACAAGACTGAATAGAGAAGTATGATAGAATACTCATTAATCAATGCCGCCCAGGATAGAACTGTCAACATGATTGGTATCCCTACCACTGAACTAGGCATCCTCCCTGGTGATCTCTGTGTGTATGAACAATAGGATGCCCACAGCAATTAACCAAGCTTGTTTTGACACCCAGGTTAGACAGCTCGACAGTGTCTATCACTGAGGAGAACAACAATAACAATGTTATGGAAACATCCTAATCTCCTGTCCAGATTGCACAGGCTGGACTTCCTTCATCTTTGCCAGGTCATAATTCCTGGATTTTCCTATCGTGGAAACCTCATCACTACAAAGTCTGCAAGGGGTCCAGAATCCTACTGCCATTTTGGGACAACAAGGGATGGGTGACAGGGGTTAAAATAATTTATTTTCGAGAACTCTTTGAAAGATGTTCTTGGGGCTACTCAGAACACCGAGTTGTTGGCATGCAGAAGGCTATTGTCGTCAATAACTAGTCCACAAACCTACTGCAAATCAGCTGCTTGTTGCTAATCAAAATTCCACTTGTACACAGCCCTTGGCTCCACCTCATTTGTAATTAGTATTCCTCCACTGCTTGAGCAAATAGCTGTGCAACCAGCACTTGCCATGAGTGTCAGCTAACCTGCTTTAAACCTGTGCAGCAATCCCTCAACCACCCTTCACATTTCATTCCACAATTAAAATTACTGGAAATTAAAAAGGTGCAGTATTTATAGAACAGTGATTTTCCTTGCCTGGTTTTTCACTCTCATTAACTCCTTTATTAAATGTTGCAGTTATGTGCTACCATATCTTCTGCATTTGTATTGTTTTTTTGGGGGGGAGGATGTATTCTTCTTTAGATGGGTAAGATAATACGAACAGCAAAGATTGCATACATATACTGTTGAATCTTTTAATCAATAAATGAAGTATTTTTGTTAATTTATTATAAATAAATTTCTCATAAAATTGATAGTTAAATGCATATCTTAGGTAAGAATGCTGCAATTTGAATAATATTTTCTCAGAAATTATTATTTCTGTAACTAGGACACATGTAATTCGTAAATAGCTTCCAGAAAAGCTTCCTAAAACATGAATGCAGGATGCTGACTGCCACCTAGGGGAATAATTTGCAGACTGCTTTGTGTTCTGTGACTTCATACATAACAAAATATTTAAGGCCTTAGCCACCCTGATTGTTTCCCCTTGACAGAAGCTTCTCCCTGAGTGACGTCTCTGCATGTTTCATATTAGGAGTGGAAATAAACTCGAATAAACTTGGTAAGCGATTGATAAAATTGCAAATACACAAAGGATGTCATCTTTACCTTCCTCCTCAACACTGGATTACCTGATACTTGAGACTGGCATTCTGCTTTCCTTCCTGGGTCAATGCATGGACTCTGCCTCCGACATCCCTTTAAGAGACACTCCGACTGTGCTGTCTCCAGACCAACGTTCAGACACAGCCTGATGGCAACTGAATAGCTGCCTTCTAAAATTCTGTTGCAGTTGATCCCAGACCAGCCAGGGTAACTCCTTAACATCTCCCCACTACCCCATCCCTCTCGCTGTCAGTTGCTCTTCCAATAACTGCTTCCATTTCTGGAGGAACAGCAAATAGGGAGAGAGGGGACCTGAAGTGGTGGATGTGGAGCGGCATCATGGGAAAGGCTGAATCTCTGACTGGGGAATTCTGTCTCTCCCACAGGTGAGAATGACCTTTCTCTGACTGCTCGTTTCTGTGATTAAATTTTCACAGAAGTTCTTGGGGCTTTTCAGGGGCAAAACCTGCATATTCTGAGCTCTGTTGAGAAATAAATGTCGCCTTGCCAAGGTTACTGTTATGTACCAGACCAAACGCCCTCAAAGTGTATTAAGAAGATAGCATAGACACTCATTTTTTTTCTTAATTTAGAGGGAAGCGTAAGGCATTGTATTTCAGATGCAATTCGATTGGACAAGCTACCTGACTTTAAGCAAAACACAGTTAAAATATAGTCAAAAGAAAAAGAAATAAAAAGAATTGGCTTAACGAAAACTCTATTGAAATAATTAACAAAATTATATATCAAAACTACTAATAATTAAATGTTCCAATATAGTAACATTCCATAATCACACCCCTGGCAAAGGCAAATTCAGTAAAATACATTGTCTCACATTGCAATTTTAGCAGCAGGAAGAGAACCCTACCGAGATAAGTAAGAGCTCCTACATCCAGTTTCAATTCCCCAGCAACTGTTGAAAGCTAAAACTAAAAATCTTGGCTTTATGGGAGCTTGACCCCACCCATTCAGGCTGCTCCTATTGTTTCACCTAAAAAAAAATCCGAGACCTCACAAACTGTTTACTTTATTGGCTTTGAGCATACCGATTATCACCTCTATCTCAAACTTTCTTCATCAACGAAAAGGACAAAATATACCTCTTAAAGTCATAGTATTGTCACAGTTACTCATATCTCAAGAACAAAAATAGTTTGAAAACAAAATAAAAATTTTGGAAGAATTCATTGCTTGCATTTGCAATTCACTGATTGCTTTGAGATGAAACGGTTTGCATGTAACTTATTTTTATATGTTGCAAAATTTTAATCAGTCTGAAAAATGCACAGTTTAATAAGTAATAACAAAGGCATTCCCAACTTCCCCACTGATTGTTAATTTTTAATTTATTTCATTAGAGCAAGAGACTTTTTTGATTGTGATGCTTCAGGAAATAATAGTGTTAACCACACATCTACATTCTGTCAGTATCGTTAACATCAACACCGTAAAATATCTGTGGTGTGGAATTTTAATACAATGTTCATTTGCACAATGGACTCCTTTTGCACTCAGAAGACCAAAACTTCTTTATAATGCAATGCCTATACTTTTTGGACAAAGTCGTTGAATTCTTCCTCTTAATGGTTGCTAGTGTTTAGAGTTTTACTTTGTCGTTACAAGTTATCATTAAATAAGCATCAATATTTGTTGCTGTTGTGGAAAGGGAGCCCAATGGCCTTTCTATTCAAAATGTTCAAGTTCTTTGTGTGAATAAATATATTGGGACGATAATAAGGACATAAGAACTAGGAGCAGGAGTAAGCCATCTGGCCCCTCGAGCCTACCCTGCGATTTAATAAGATCATGGCTGATCTTTTTGAGACTCTTTCTAATTTAATCTTTTACTTTAATCCAGAAAGAAACAGGAAAATGGCAATTGAATCATAGTTCTATGAGCCTGCTCCCTTCCCCGAGGACCAATTGTGTGGTAGAGCAGGGGAAATTTATAAAATTGTTGATATGAGATTCACTAAACCACTTCATTACTGTCAGCTCAATATTAATAGGTGTTGGTTTTCGATAGCTATAACTAATGCTTGATTTTTTTTTTATATTGCCTTCTTTAATGGCTTATAGGCTTACCTGGAGTATTACGTACAATTTTGGCTCCCTTACTTAAGGAAGGATGTAGGTGCATTGGAGACAGTTCAGAGGAGATTTATTAGATTGATTCCAGAAATGAGGGTTTGTCTTACGAAGAGAGATTGAGCAGTTTAGGCTTCTACTCTCTAGACTTTAGAAGAATGAGAGGAGATCTAATTGAGGTATACAAGATGCTAAAGGGGATTGACAAAGTAAACATAAAGATGATGTTTCCTCTTGTAGGAAAATCTAAAATAAGAATTCATAGTTTTGGATAAGGGCTTGTAGATTTAAAATAGAGATGAGAAGAAACCACTTCTCACAAAGGGTCGTGAATCTGTGGAATTCACAATCCCAGAGTATGGTAGATTCTGGGAGTTAATTTAAGGAGGAGATTGAGTTTTGATTCGTGATGAGGTGAAAGGATATGGGGAACGTGTAGGAAAGTGGAGTTGAGGCCGAGATGAGATCAGCCGTGATCGTATTGAATAGTGGAGCAGGCTCAAGGGGATAAATTGCCGACTCCTGCTCTTAGTCCTTATGTTTACAGTTTCCACAAAAATACCACACCACAATATATTAACTTAGTTTTACTGAAACAATATTCAGAATAAATACAGGTAGTTTTCCTATAACATGATAGTTGCGTCCTTGTGCGACCTCGTGCTAAGGAAAATTGCCATAGAAAATCATGCTATAGGGAAATCGCTATATTGTACAGTAGAAAGTTTGTGTTACCCAAACAGCGTCCATTATTCATCAATCACGTTACAGCCAATTCACATGAACAAAACATGCGTTATAACAAATACCAGTAACGGTAACTTTAAAACGATAGAGGTGGTTAAAAATTTGAAAACTATTTAATAAAAAACCATCAGTAAGAATATTCGTCTTTGCTGGGAGAATATGAAATGTCTGAAAACTGTGTTTTTTTCAGGTTGCCCAAGCTGGGGACCTGATCATTGAAGTCTACCTGGGGAAAAAGGAGCCGGATTGTTGCTGCATAATTAGGGTAGGTATTTGGTTATAAAATGAAATCTTCTGTACATCCGGTGTAATATAGTATCTTTTGGCTTTCAAATGGAGCTTTGCTTAATTGGATTTAATTAACTTAAACTTCAAAGCACAAAGAACAATTTTCATGCGCACATAGTTGGTGCAAAACTGTTTGTACTGTTTTGCTACCAGATAAACCTTTCAAGGCGTCTGGTGCTTTTTAAAGTCAAGGAGATTGTGTATTCATTGCATCAACAGCTGGCTACTCAAACTTCCTCCATAATTAGGGAGACAGAGAACAGTGACTCAGCCCTGCATCTAACATCATTCCTGCTGACTATAATGCTGCTGGTATGCAATTTATTTAAACATTTACGTCAAGAAAATTTGCAGTCGTGCCAAGTACGTAACATCAAAAATGTTCCTAAGCTTTATTGCAGTGTGATCAGTAGAAGACTCAGATAGGAGCAAAGAAATTCTAAACATTTTGCACAAGTCAGGATGTTCTCACGTTTTGTAAATTAGTCAGGTAATTAACTGTAATTTTAATCAGTGTCTTAAAAACATATACTTCCCAAGGTGCAAGTGTTGCTGGCAAAGCTAGTACTTCCCACCAATCTCTGGTTACCCTTGTCCACTTTGAAGTCCTGGAGAGCAATCTGATATGATTGATTTCCAAGGCTGCTTCAGAGGAATGTTATGAGCAAGCCACATTGCTGTGGCATTGGAATTATAGATAGGCAAGGCATAAAGAGACAGGCTTCCTTCACAAGAAACACGTATGTGCCATGAGCTTTCAATTGTACTTCAGAAGCTCATGATCACTCTGGGCAGTGGTATTGTCATCAGTATTAATGTGCACACTAATAACAGACACAGTGAACACTTTTTGAGATTCTAGAACATTTTGTTGGATAACTAAAGCGTGTGGGTGGTTATTGATATCATTCTGCTTGTAGTGAGGAACTTTGTATTACTCTTCATTGCAGATAATTTGGTCCATTTTTATTTTACACACTGGTGCTACAGATCTGTGCAGCCATGGACTTGTCACAAATGTCTCAGAGAATACCCTATACAATAAGCAATTTTGAAAAGCATTGTTGTTGCACAGGCAAGTGCAGCAACCATTTTGTAAAACCAAAAACATGCATGAGATGGCAGAGCAGCAAATGTGTTTTGAGCTGTGTTGCTTGAGGGAGAAATGCTTGCCATATTACTGGGGAACTACTTCAAAAACACGATGAGATTCTTAGCATGTCTGATCTACCTACATGTCAATAAAGAGACCTGTTTTGTAGCCTAAAGTAAATGAAAGAACAATACCGGTATGCAAAGCCAGAGCAAATGAGATCAAGCTTGCCTTTTAAATTGAAACTGCTTTGGATACATATTCTGTATACTGCAGATTTATCAAACTTGATATTATTTTTCAATGTGAGCATATTTATATCCTTTCATTCTTTTCCTGTGCAATTTTACTTGAAATTAAGACTTTTTCTAACACCGTGGATCACAGGTTTCTCCGACCATGACAGCAGAAGAATTAACTTGTATAGTTCTCCAAATGAAGAACATTGTCACTGCTGAGAAGATTGTCTGGGCAACATTTGAAGTTATAGAGAATGGAGAGCTTGGTAGGATATTATTTAAAATAAATACAGAAAGCTGAGTTAGAAGCAGTTGCATATTAAAACTACTGAGTGGGTGAAAAAATTTAATCTTAAAACAAATTGAAAACTAATTGTTGTCTCCTCATTATTTCCTCTTCATTGTCTCCCACTCTTTACCTGCATATTTTAGGCAAATGAATGATCTTCATTTTTATAAAATTTTGAGTGGTATTTGCTAGCTGGCTGTTGACTTTGGAGCTATCATAATTGAGTCAGATTCTGCCCTTGTATGACACCCATATGACATCAATGTTAGCAAGAATTATTGAATAATGTTTAATTTAGAATTCCAAGTGTACCTTTCTTTCCTGTCCAACCCAGAGACTCCAGCCATTTGTAATATCAATCATCATTTGTATGAAATATTCACGACGTTAGGACATTCCCAAAAAAAACGTCTTAGCCAAAAAAAAAGCCTTAGAAATATTGTTGGTGTTGAAAATAGGGGACTCATCCAATTTGGTTATAATCATCTAGTATAACATAATGCAAGGACTGAGCAGCACTGAGACATCATCAGTTGAAGAAGCACTTTGTACAATTTTGAATGATAATTACTAAAGCATTTCTACTTTAACTATAGCTTAGCTACCTGTACAGTAAAATTCTCTCTCAGCTGCCACAATAATGCCATGAGGATCCCAGTCTTTGGCCAAGGAATCATTAACCAAATTTTCGGATATGGAGAGAGGTGTCCAACTGAACTTATGTCATTTATGTTCCTTAGTAGCCTGAGGAAGTCTCATGTCAGCACACTTGCAGTGCAAAAGCAGAAAGTATGAACTTCTGATTGCAGGTTTTACCCTCAACAGATTGTTTCATGATGGATCAGAACCATGCAGACTTGCGCTGTTTCCCTTATAATTGTGGATCACATCTGCTAGCCGTTCACCCTCCCCCTTCAGAGTACTCTGCAGCCATTCACTGACATATTTGACTCGGCTCATGGAGAGGCAACATGCAATCCAAATTCATGTCTACAGTGGCAAAAATACTTACCTGCTCCCCTAACAATTAATCCTCCTGTCAGTATACTGAGTCAGCCATGGTTCCAGAGACTTGGCTCTGGCTGCACTTCCCAAATAAACCATCACTTTGAGTATGTAGATCTAAATACTGGTTGGAGAGTGAGATGCCCTCAATAGATTCTTGTATTGTCTGCCTTTTTCTTCTCGATTGCTTAGTGGTCACCCATCTCCCCTCACTCTGCATACCCTGAAGTTGCAGTGTAACCACATCTATAATTCCATCAACCAAGCTCTGCACTTCATCATTTACCACACTGATGCAAGCTGCTGATCAGCTCTGAAACACACAACTCAAGCTGCTACAGCTGATGATCCCTCCCACATAAAGTGCTTTCTATTTCTCATGGAACAGCATGTGAATGCCAGGGATCCAAGCTACCCTGCCATGCTTCTATCTAATAGATAATAAAACTTACCATGAAAAAGATAAAGACTCACCAGTTTAAAGGGAAAGCAATGGCCTAGTGGTTATTATCACTAGATCATTAATCCAAAGACCTAGATAATGTTCTGAGGACCTGGGTTCAAATCCTGCTAGGGAAGATAGTGGAATTTGAATTTAACAAAAATCAGGAATTAAGAGTCTAATGGTGATCATGAAATCATTGATTGTCAGAAAGTCCCATCAGGTTCATTAATCTTCTTTAGGGAAGGAAACGGTCATCCTTACCTGGTCTGGCCTACATGTGATTGTAGACCCACAGCAATGTGGTTGTTTCTTCAACTGTCCTCCTAACTGACGAGCAATACGCAGATCCTGTGAATGAATTAACAAAGACTCACTCTTCTGATGTCAGTTGAATATGAGTGGCTTAATTGAAATGCTCTACTTAACATTTATTAACAAAATAAAAAATATTTTTTAAATTTTTCCAGCTCTTTCGACTACTCCTTAACTTTGGAGAAAGGGAAACCATCATCAACATACAATTAACTCATAGCTTCAAGTGACATCTCAGTTTGACCTTTGTTCATTCACTTCCATGATCCTGACCTGCTTCATACTCTGCCCAGTTTGCCTCATACTCCTCCCAGTCTGTTTTACAGTCTTTCCAATCTTCCTGACCTGACTGCACATGGTATACTCCAGTGGCACTGACCTGCTTTGCACTCCTTTTGGTCTGCCTTACAGTGATTCTAACCTTCCACACACTCCCGTTTGCACTAAGGTGACATGTAATATTGTAATATTTATGATAACAGGATACTTCAAGTCATGTCCGACAACAGGATTTGAACCAGTTAGAAGGTAGACCAAAGAGTTGCGATTAATTTAAAAATGGCTATATAGTGATCTTTTTGCTGAAAGAAGACAAATCATATATTTGAGGGACTTCTGGTAGGAATTATCATGTGTATCATGGCTAGTTTTGTAAAGCATCATTATATTAATTTATTTTAATCTAAATATATATTTAGTATGAATCATCAATTATTTCTACCTTAAAATTTAACTTCTTGTAGGAATAAATATGA